AGACAGCCACTGTACTCAAGAGATAGGATGACGCACTTGATGGATTACTTTCCACTGCTTCTGCTGTCGTGCTGCTTACTGTGGCTGCATCAGTTGAATCGTCTGTGGCACTACCCGGAGTTCCTGGAGTTTCAGGTGAGCCTGCTGCTGTGGATGGGGGCGAGGTCGGCTTTTCCGTTACTGTTGAAGATGACACAGTTGTAGTTGTTGGTGAAGTAGTTGTTGTTGGTTCGGTTGTTGCAGTTTCCGGTGATTCTGTTCTAACGTCTCCCGCTTCCCGTGCATTCAGTGTAGCGATACTCGCTGGCATTGCAGAGATACCACCCGCTGCAGGAACGTTCACCGTGTTTGCCTCGGCGGTAGGCTGTGTATTGTCTGCTGCCGTTGGCCGGGTATCGTCCGCTTCTTTAGGAGCAGCGGACGCGTCATGCTGCTCTTCTCTTTCCACCAACGTAGTTGCAGTGCCTGAAGGAACAGGGGGGACGCCTCCTTCGAACCCTGCCTCATGGGATCCAGCAGCGGCAGCACCCTCAGCAACAGGCACTGTTGCAGAAGAAGCAGGAGGAGGAGGTACTGCTTCTTCAATACTACTTAAGTCTGCATCCGGCGGTGAGGTAACAGTTGTAGTAGCAACATCCGCAGTAAGAGGAGATGCAGCAGAAGCAGCAGGAACCGCTGTCTTAGGAGGATCTAGCTCTGCACCAGAGGGAGAAGGAGCAGTAGCAGCATCCCCAGCAAGAGGAGCTGCAGCAACAGGAGCGGTGGAAGGAACTTCCGTCTTAGGTCGGCCTATGTCTTCATCAGAGGGAGAAGCAGCAGGCGGTTCTGCGCTCGTGCTGTCCTCGTTGCTCTGAGTTTCCGGCATAAGATTGCCTGCGCGATGCCCACAAACAACGCAGCCACGGGACCAGGTGAATTTATGCTTTTATCTCTTCATCAGCTACATTTCTTCTTTGTTTAATCCTACGCTCAGTGTAAATTCCTACCGTTATCTCCTTCGTGAGACCTGCTGTCGCCGTCGCCGTGGTTGGTGCTAGCGCCTGCTCCTGCGGGCAAAGCAAATCCATTGAAGCAATGAGCGAACAAAACCAAAAGGAGTAATGTGAAGCGAATAACACCTTTTACACCGCCCAATTGTGTAGAAACAACTGAAGTACATCCCTGCCATTCCTTCTGGCTCTACGCAACTAGGAGGTACGAAAACATCTCAGTGGACTCTATAGAGGACTGATAATACTGCACTGGCAGCCAGGCAGTTGGAAATGTTATAAATTGCATGAAAACAACTCGTGTAGCGTGAGGCGCCATTCGCATTCTCTGGTACAGGTTTCTGTCTCTCCTCGTCTGCTGTCTCGGCGGCAAGCTGACAGTGCTCGCCAACTGCGCGTTTGTTGGTAAGCTTATATTCAGCCAATACAGCCAAAAATATACATTTTATTACCTGGGGCAACGGTACCAGAGAGGGGCAGTTTGCCCTCGGTATCTACGGCGGCACAGAGGGCGTAGGCTGAGATGGCCGTCAAGACATTGAGGATCCCCATGTTGGCGTGTTGCAGGGTGTAAACGGACAGACCCTTGAAAGATAAATGTGATTTAAAAGACAACAAACAAATGAAATACAAAATAAAGAACAGGAGAGGCAATATTGACTCAGTGGACCAACACAAGTCTCCACCGGTCCTGCCTTGAAGCAACCTCGGGGGGGACCGCCAGGCGCTCGGTTTTCCGGCTGTTCCGGGTTGTGCGGAAAATATACCAGTCAAATCTGTAACAACAACTGGAAACAATTTGTTTTTCTTCAACACAGAAAATACCTAACTGTCCAGGAAACTATGTTTCGAATATGACCGACTTTATGTCTCAGTTTCCTATGACGCAGCGTCCTTCGCCGCCGCCGACGAAATCTGATAGGACAACGACGAAAGTGAAATACGCATTACCCCCCGAATATTTCACAAAAATTTAATTGCCCTGATTATGTACACTACTTTGCTTTCTGTTGGTGGCGTTTGGTTGACCGAAGTACACCTCTGTCGATACCGGGTTGTCCAAAAATATGAAGTGTGAACTGAGAAAAAGCCACAGATGCAGGCCAAGAGAGCCAGCTATAGTTTGTCTTTAACTGCATAGGAAAACTGCTACTTCTACATGGGAAACGGCAGAGATAAAACATATTCTGCTGAGTTGTTTATGTTTTCTCCTGTTTTCTCCTTCCAATAGATGGAGCAGAGGAACACCGAGATGGCCAACGAAGTCGAAGAAGAGTAAGCCGCGAAGGCAAAGAGAAATAGAATACGTCAGGGGACACACTTTGTCCAGCCTTCGGCTCACTGTTGACTAATTTTCCAGTAGAGTGTTTTCTGTAAACACTGTTGTACAGAGTGGAGTCCAGTTTGCCATATGGGGGCTGAGTTCGGTGATTGACACGGACTGGCTATTCTGCAACAGCACGGTAGACTACGGAGGCTGTTACACTTCTTAAGAGCAAATACACAGCCGATGCAGTACGGTGTACAGCATTGCTACGGTGGTGTATTCACTCTTTAGCGGTGGACAGACTCGAGGGGCATTTGCATGATATTGGCGTAGATTGAGAGAAGAAGGAAAACACCAATTTCTTCTTGTTTTTCTTCTGAGGCAGCAAAGAAGGAGCTGACGGGGTGTTTGAAACCGACTGAGCTAGTAGCCTGCCCTGCATTCATGTTCTCAAAGTTATGTGTTTGAGTGGGGAAACCCAATGCGCGCATCCAAAAACCGAGTTAGGCAATGTGCAAGTGAAGAAAAAAGCAAAGCTTTTGCACTGGTATGCTCCGACACTCCCACAGGTAACCCTGCGCATCGACTGATTTGAAGCACAAGTTTCGCCTTGCTGAGTTAGCCAAGCTGGCGGCCCATCAGCCCGGTACTAAAAAGAACAGTTTCCCCTCATTTGTTCGTATGAAAAATATAAGCAAAGAAGGGTTGTCTTTTGCTTCGTTGGAAACTGTTTAATCAGTTTCATCTGCGCAAAATGATTGAAGGAGTTCTAAGCTATAATGCCAGGGTTTGTCACTAGTCACTTGTTTGTAGCACGAGAGCAGTCCCTGATAACACCCAGAAGGACGCATGCTCAGAATAAGGCAACCAAGCGTCAAAGACCCAACCCTCGCCCATGGCGTTGCGGCGGCCTTCTGTGGCGTAGACGGGAGTGCGCAATAGGCTGCGAATGTTGAGGCGGCTCGACTCTATGGGAATAACTTTAACAAGCGGCATTTCTTCAGACAACTTTCGAGGTATCTGCGGAGCCAAGCGCTCCAGAGAGCTATCCCATCGAGCTCCCTGCACAGAAGAATCAGAAGCAGCTGTTGAATAAATGAACGCAGGTTACGGTGATGCCCAAAGGGAAGGGTAGCAGTTTACCTCAATGTACATTCCTTCTACGTAGGCGCCGTGCTCCAGGCTCTCTTCAATCTGTGAAGATGAAGTCAGCTGCGTAACTTCTGTAGAGAGCACCAGTTTATCTAGAGCTATCTTCTTCTTGCGGCTCGTTACTTGAATAAGCGCAGTCAAAAAGGAGTCCGGCATATGGAGCCCCCCCAGCCAGTAGCATTTGAGACTTCCCTGAAGGAACAAGCGAGCAAATAATGATGACGATGATGATGATGAGAAGAATGCAAGGCGTCAAATGCGTGGCGTCGGAGCGTCAGGTGGGGGTCCCATCCCTTGCTCGACTTTGTAGTACAAGGTAGCTTTCCAGATGCCTGCTGTTGCTGCAGCTGCCGGCGCATAGCAACTAGGGAGCACGGAAAAGGAGAGTTCGCTTGCCTGCGTAATCCACATGGTGTATTGATCAATTCGTCTCATCAAATGAGAGAGCCAAGAGCCTAGAGGCTTCAAACTGGGGGGTGCAAGTGCTCGCCACTGTGCGGGCAAAAAGCCTGCTTGCAGGGATAAGGCCAGGGCGTCAAGATCTCCTGACATGCCGATGTCTCCTCGAAGTGCTCGTGACAGATCTCGGAGCGATTGAGACATAGTTTCCGTCAGTATGTTCAGTCGGTCAAGTTCCTGCAGTCGCCCCCACACAGCTAAACAGCAGTAGCGTTGCTGCGTTATTGGTATGTATTCTCGTGCGTATTGCCCCAACCTCTATATCTCCTTTACAACAAATGGTTTGAAATTGAAGCACTTTAAGCTAACACCAAACAACGAACAGTGATATACCTGAGCAAGGACAACCTGTGTAGGCGTTGGTGGATCAGGGCCAGCGGAGACATAGAGGCCGTTCTCAGGTAGTTTACTGAGTATTTCTGAGATAGTTGAGACCAGAGCTTCTTCTTTAAGGCTCCCCACTGCGGAGTCACTGTTGCTCCCGGAGGAGTTCGCAATATTGATCTTCAAAAGCCCGTGCCAAATGCTTTTTGCGTTCTCGACGAAATACCCGATTTCTGCGTTCGTGTGAAGCCCAAATACCTCAGGGGTGTTGCTTGAGGGCATGTTCTGCAGACAACACAGCTCCAAAGCATGGCCCGTCTCTTTCGCGGCAGTGCAATTTTAAAAGCATGTATAAATCCGAAGATGAATAACTACATTTGAAGCGGAATATTTTATGGAGGGATGCACAACTTTTCTCCTAGGAAAACGCATTTCGTGCAGATGTAACGGAATACTGCGGCAAATACCTTTATGAATTCAATGTGTCCTGCACTCGAGCTGTCCGCGGGTAGAGCGTAGCTGATGGGGGCTTTACTGAAGGAAAACTGCCGGTAGCTGTCAAAGACGAACTCCCCCAAATACTCTTCCAAGTATGTTGCAAGCACTCGTCGGTCATAGTCATCTGTCACACGGCCTCCGTACATTGCCTCCCCAATCAAATACCTCAACGTTTCCCACGGAATATCTGAAGCTGTTGGCGGAGGAGCGCCAGGCTGCAGTTCAGCAGATTTGCCTTCGCCTTCTGCAGGAAGACCCTCGGGACCCCGCGAAGATTTACTCAAATACATTTTCACCAGACTCAGAGATATCGATAAGTCGGACTCATTGAAGTCGTAAGGCACGTTCCACCCAATTTTGCCGTACTTACGCCTCTCCTGTATATCGCATCACCAACTGTCATTTCTGTTGCTTTGTTGCAAACACCAAGGTTCTATTCTGTGGTCGAATTCAAGTCATGTGGACTTTAAGCATACCTGGACAACCGCGTGGAAGAAACTTAACGTGTACACCAGCGTGGGATATGCAGGATGCGCGCACTGCTCAAACGCGTCTTCGCGGAATAGGGAATAAGATGTTTGCAAGTTCGCCCGTAGGCCGTCAGGCGGCTCTGTCACCACCTTGAGGGAAGCCTGAGATGTTCAGAGGCAACCAATCAGAAGACAGGTAGCTTGTGAAGGCAATGCACACTAGAATCTTGCGGGAATACATCGACTGGAGTAAGGTACCTGCAGAATGCTCAGAGGGAAGTCTTGTGTTGGTTGCGTAGTCAGCCACAGGCGGAATCCGTTGTGTGGCTTCTTCATATCTGCAAAATAATCCCTGGCACAATTTACTCAGTGACAATGACTGGCCTTCGAAACTAAATAGTGGTGAGTGCCTTCTTAATGTTTTCCTTTTGTATACCTTGTAGCAATTTAGCTAGCGTCGAAAGCCATCCTGGGAGCAGGTGGCAGTTCTGCAGCATTATCCAAAATCCTCGTTGGTAACCAACTTCTACGAGCTGTCCGGCTTGCTCCCCCATGCCCTGCCCTATGGAAAGGTGTCGAAATTTGTTGCCTAAAACAAGCAAAATAGACAATCAAACGTATGCGTAATGGCTGGGCAACGCGTGGAGTCCTGAAGTTGGCTCATCAGGAGGTGCAACATGGAACGCAACGAGCGAAGTGCTTATCCCATCTGGCGTAGCTCGGCTGACCTGCAAGACCCATGGACTCGGCAAGAGCAGAGACAGCGGCGAAAGGGTTGGCACCGGGGGACAATATCAGAAGGATTGGCGAAAGCTCGGAGGACTGCGCATATATTTTAGAGTATCTGCAGGCAAGCAATATTTTGACGATAAAGACAGCCGGGAATGAGTCATGTTAGTCCACTTCCATCGCTCTGCATAAAAGTTCAATAAGCGTCCTGAAGGGGCTCTCAGTTCCTCACTGCAGCGTTGGCGACTGCACGTAGTGCTCATTTAGTCTCCACTGAATAAAATGTTTGATGGCGTTGTGGACTCTATCCACACGAAAGACGCGGACAACTATTAACTTTTGGAACGGAGACAGCACTCTGCTCCACTGGCCAGGCATGTCAGCTTTTTCGGCTGAGTCATCTTCTGCCCACTCCTTCCACGCCTGAGGGCCCCGGGACACCAATTACTAGAGGGAACATTTCCCACTGGCCTCGTCGTTCAGCCACAGCCCCGCAGGCAACCTCTATGGCAAGTTGCAATTCAACTGAAGGGCCATGAATAGGTACTGAGGAAAACTTTGTTCTAATGTTCAATAGGAGGCCGTCACCGTCCAGAAAGTTAAGGGCTCACCTGGGGCTCGGCGAGGACGTTTTCCCGCAGTCCCTGGAAGGCTGGACTGACCGTGCTTAACTTAAACAGATCATTCCATCCACTGTCTGGTATCCAGCTGAACTCCTCGGGCTTCGTTTCCCCTTCGGAAATCGTGTTACTCCCCTTCAAGAAAAAGTCAAGCTCTTCTTCAGGGAGCTTGCCGTCATGCCGCATGATCATTGTGGTTAAATGAAAAGCGAAAATAAGTCTCTGACTTTCAAACAAACCTAGAGACACAAAGGGAGCAATATGCGGCTAGGGAATTAACTGAAGCCGATGCAAAAGAAAATACCGCCAGTGGATATTGACGAAAGAAAAGCAGTTGCTTGCCCTCTGAAAGGAACGCCTTTCTTCAGTTGCAGTTGGGAAGTTTAAGAATGGGTGCTAACGGGAGGCTCACCTAAGCTTATGTAGTCATATGATAGTTGCGTGACCTTGTCAACAAGGCTTTTTAGGCGGTTCTCTAGTATTCGGTCCTGCCGTGCTTCTCGTAAGGCTACTCGGAAGGTATGCAAGAATGTATCAAGAGAGTATTCTAACATGGGCGAAAGGTTTCTCATTCCATCCATGCTAAAGTACACGACACTTCCTCGCTTTGCAACACTGTAGAACTCTTGCCGCTTCTGTGACAAACACAAGTACCAGCAGTGAGGCAACTTACTAATCAATTTCTTATTGCGTGGTGCTGAACATCTGGGGGATTCAACGATTAAATCTTGAAGTATTTTTGATGGAAGGCATGAGAATATGAGTCTGACCTCCTNCTGGGGGATTCAACGATTAAATCTTGAAGTATTTTTGATGGAAGGCATGAGAATATGAGTCTGACCTCCTCTATTTTCACGGATGTTGACTTGGCCTCTTCAAGGAATTGCTCTATCTCGAGAGCTTTTGTTTTTGTATTTTGGAGAGTCTCAATCAGGTCCTCGTTGTCTAAGGGGCTTCCTTTCGAGTGAGCGAGCTCATGGAGCAGTGTATTCTCCAGATGCTGCAAGTGCCCATAGGAATTGGCAAACGTTTTTATAATTGTAACTCAAAAAGCAGTAAGGAGTGGTAACGAGGGCATGCATGCACTTGTTTGCCCGTACCTTCAACATTAGACGGCCTTCGCTCATGCGCTGTACAAGTTCTTGACGCTGACTTTCTAACTCAGGCACTTCGTTGCCGACGACTATTGCCAGCATCTGCTCGGCAAGTCCACTCATTGTTACCTGTTTTCCACAATGAGCAGAGAGTTGCCCGGAACTTACGGAAAGAAAACAACT